TTTTTTTTTTTCTCCCTCCCCGAAGTTTTTGTTTTTTGGGTTGAAAAAACCCCTTTTTTTTTTTTTTTTTTTTTTTAGGTTAGTTAGAATTAACAAAATTATTTCTATTTGCTAAATTCCAGAAAATGTACAGAGAACAAAAATATATATTTTTTGTAACTTTCATCAAATTCAGAAGTTTTGCTGTATGTAAATATCTAGTTTCAGCTGTATGTCCATCCCATCTTACTGCTAATTCTGACCAGTTGTGCAGTTCCTGCTAATGACAAGCATTCCCACAGCATGATGCTACCACCACCATGTATGCCAAGTTATATCATTTTGGAGTAATTTGCAGTTGTGCATTCTTTTTTTTTTTCTTTTTTTTTTGGATAATGGACTGAACTTCTGTCTACGGTTGAGTTATTGTTTTATAACCTGATCTTTCCTTAAACTTCTTTACAATTCTATCCCTTCATTGTCAGATATGTTCCTTGGTGTTAATTATGCAGTTTGTTCACTTATGTTCCTTAAGAAACCTTTGAGACCCTCACAGAACAGCTACATTTATAATGAGTCTAGATCTAACTAGATGTCTACTAAAGGTCGTTTGTCGCACTGAATTTTATCCAATTTTTATGCCATACTTTCATCATTTTATTTGTAAGAAAATCTGAAAACCATGTATCTATTTTTTTTTTTTGTTTCACTTCACATACACGTCACTGGGTGTTGGTTTGCCACATACAATCTGAATATAATATTTAAAAAACTGTGACTGCAGTGTGACTAGATATGCAAAAATTCAAGGGATGCCAGTACTTTTGCAAGGCACTGAAAGTTTCTTTTTTTCTTTCACTTCGACTGGCAAAATCTTCCTTTAACCCCTGCACGTCTCATAGGAGTCATCTCTTTATGACTGCAGGATATGAGTATGCATGTGTTGCGATGCTAAAAGTGGCACTCACGTCTGTCAGACGAGTGACAAAGATGAAGGCCCCCGCAGAGTCTGGCCAGGACAGCTGGAGCCAGATCTCACGTACCTGGCTGAAGCAAGCTGTCACTTCCACTGCTGAGCAACTGTGTTTGGCTTGTTGCACAGGCTGAAGCTGTTCACAAAACACATGCTTTTTAATCATCAAACTGGCAGAAGATGAATTTATTTAGACAATAAATAAATAAATGTCACGAGGTTTAACATACAACTTTTCGTGAACACGCATTAAGTTTCGGTGAACCTGTTTCAATTTGATCTATTTGTTCACATATTGAAGTAACTGTGGTAACAAATCAAACGCGTTTCCTCAATCTACTCAACTGAAATGTAATTGTGTGGTCAAAAGCACTGAAAATAATATTTAACTTAATTCAATAATTATATAGGGTTAGGGTTAGGCCATTAACCAGAATGGATGTCAGGTCCTATGTGTAGCGCCTGTCATCACAGATCAACTTCAATTATTTTAATTGCAAAAATAATTGCACTGGAAGAGCAGAAGCGTCCCACCTGATCCGTTTCCACGGCTTTGCGGATTCTGTCGCAGGACCTGTCATGGACAATCTGCAGGAACTTATGAATCGACGACTTGAACCAGTTATGAAAGCCTGTCAGGGCCAACATTTTGGCGTCTCTGTTTGAGCAGAGCAGAAGTCTTTATGAATAAACGGGAGGCTAATCAAATGACGAGGCTGGCACATGAATAGTCATTAGAGCTGAACAAACTTGAGGGGAAGAAACTCTCGAAAGCCCTTGAGGATCTTCAAAGACATGAAGAGTTCGAAGATGGTTTCCCCCATAGTCTGAGTCAGTCTGGAGCTCTCCTGCTCCAGAGTGCCACAGACCCGCTCCATTGCTACATTTACATCATCTGCTACCTGCCGGGAGGGAGAATTGGAAAGAGGCAGAGTCAAATTTAGCAACAACAACATCGCAGCATGACTCACAAAGACTTCAGAAGACTTTTTCACCTTGTTTCAAAGACTTACCTGTTTTTCCAGCTGCCTGTATGATATGCTGAAGTAATCTACTTTCACAGCACTGTGAGAGCAAAGAACGAAATGACATGAGACCAACTACAAGGCAACAACACAAAATGAGTCTGACAGGGTGCGCAGCTTTTGAAGACTTGGTTGTATTTTATGAAATACATAGCACACACTGTTGGCTTTAGTAAAAAAAAAAAAATCACCTGTAGAAGAGTTTGTTGTAGATGTTTTGGCCTCGCTGTACGTCTGCACAAACGGCATCGATCACCTGAACCATTTTTTTCAGCTGCTCCTCCAGAGACTGAATTATTAGAGAAGATTCACAAGCTTCAGCACGCTTAGTAAAATAAGATTCCTTCTATCTTATTTATTATTTATTTTTATTATAAACTTACCCCTTCCTCTGGTTTGTACTGGGCAATTAAGCTTTCATACCACTCAGACGTTCCTTTCTGTCGATGAAAGGAAAAAAAATGGGTTTCACCGGTGACGTAACAACATTTAGCGACATATTTTGTCAAAGTGAAGTCTGCACTGGTTGCTGTCAGCATGTTCTCTAACCTTCTGGTTACAATACTATCAAAAATGTTCTTTTAAATTATCTGTGTGACTTTATTTTATGTACTTTGGTATAAACAAAATGTAAAAGAGGGTTGAATGAAACTGTAAGCTCTGTGAAACTAGGAGAACTGTTAGTTCAGAGTTTTACAATGGCTAGAATGTCCCATCCAGTGGTGGGAAGTAACGAAGTACAAGTACTTCGTTACAGTACTTAAGTACAATTTTCA